GTCGCTGTATGGCGTGATAACAGACTGCTTAAGATACGGGATCCTTCGGGGGTATCGGAGATGGATTCTCGACCATTACCGTTGTATCCATCGATAGCAAACTGGATAGAGCTCGCAATAGTCCAGATGCAGATTTACACGGAAGAAAGTCATGTCAACGGAAAAATCATATGACCTCGGCATGGTAAAAGCTGACTTTCCACGACATTGTCCACCCGGCAAACATTTCGCGGACCGAATCACTCAGATGTATCACTAAGTCCTCTACAACTTGTTCTTCACCTCCAACTGAAGACGGTTGTCCCATCGGCGATGTCTCCATTACGGTCGTAGTTTTTCGTTTCTTAAGCCGAAATTCGTGAGGTCCATCCGTCTCGTACTCATTCTCCTCTGGGTCACAACGCGGGTCAGTTAATGTGTGTTCGTAATTCAGCTCCGTTTCAACAAGGTCGGCAGGATTATCGGACCTCAGAAACTCAGCAAAACCTTCAAATGTACCGTCGGTCTGCAAGGTTGATACAAAGAAAGTGAAAAATGAGAGCAGAGTCCCCGAGAGCGGTCAGGTGTTCAAGTGTATATTGCATCATTTGGAATTTGACTCCCGACTCACTGTCACCGTACGAGTCTCGACTTGAGGTTTCATTGTTTTAGGTCGATTCATCTTGTATATATACGGAGCACCTTATGAGAGATGGAAGCGATGTCATATATGTAGACTTCAAGCTCACGATGGACTCAAGCTGAAGTTCGCCTCCCACAAATTTTGTCTGAACAAGTACGGTGAAACCTCTCTACACGGATATGTGCCCCTCGGTACAAAGATGGTCCTATGGGTGTAGAGGGGTTATGTCTGTACTGAGGCACGCTTTGATTTCAATTCCTTTGATAAATACACAGTTTACACTGCATGCAAATTAAGACACCCACTATGTGTCAGCTATGCTACATGATAGCTGTTGAGATTTACGCAATGCCAACACACTTTAAAGAGACAAACACAATCCACCTCAACATCAGCTGGTATTTTAAGAGCAAAAATCAATAGTGTTGCTGACTTCTCCCAAGCAGACTCATCCCTGAAGTAGTGACATTTCTCTTCATCTACAACCACACATCAGTATTACCACACAGCAGACTGGAAGTGGCCAACTCTGTTTTTCATCAGCCAATAAGAGGCTGCCACTTTGATAGTTTTTCATATGTTTTCAGAAGATTCAGATAGGCTTCTCACACTACAGGTATACAACTTTTGAAAACAAAAGAGCAGTTGTAACATGAAATCACATCAAAAACATGAAGTCAGTTTAACTTTCATGAAGCTTGTCCAAATTTGCCCATGAAATTTGGCTCCCTGTCTGTTTATCCATTGCACGTTGATGTGCACATACATAGAGTTGTTGTAGAAGCTTGATACCAACTTGAAACAGTTTCAGATCCAAGATATGAAATGCTTTTGTCAGATTCCTCAGACAGTGAGAAGCTTCAAAATCAAGGTCTGATCTTGTTTGATCAAACCTTTCACACAACCAATGTGCCCCAAGCACACATCCCCTTATCCCATTGTTTCAGATCCAATACCAGCATAGAGTAAGTTCCCCGCAGAGAAATTGGTTTCATTGAATGCATCAAATAATCAAAAGTGCTGATTTAATGCTGATTGAATGCATTTTCAATCATTTCTTGCTCTAAATGTAATCAATTTTCCCATGTGAAAATTCCTTCATGTTGGCAGCTAGAAGACCTCCAATGCCCCATCATCCAGATAAACTTAAACAACATGCCTTTGATTCCAATTGGAGCTGTCTATTGCCTGTTTTTCATTTTCACTTCACTTTAGGCATGCCGGATTTTATTTGTCTGCTCTCAAAATTTGATGAGATATGTTTGCACTAAACTGCATAGACAACAGTAGACAGATTCTTCTTTTCTATTCGCACAAGTCTGAGACCTTCCTAACACATCATGATCTGGTAGATTCTCACCAGTAATGTTGCAAAAAGCGAGTAAGGACCAGGCCAATGATCAACCACAGATCATAACAGTGCAAAGTGTGCAAATCCTGCTCTGTGCCAAAAAAGTGAGAACAAACCATCTCACTACGCTGTGCAAAGCACTGTGAAGAAGAATTATGATCCACCAGCCATGCATATTTGTACAGAGTAGGTCAGTGAGAGTACAGTTGACTGTGTTTCAAGATGGAGGGCAGCAGGATTGATTTCACAAATTAAGGATCAATGTAATAGAAAAGGAATTGTAAAAAAAGGCAAAGAGGAAAATGATAGACATTGCACAAAGCAAAGAGATTGTAGTATAAAGATAGAAGAAGAAAAAGAAGATGGACAACTAAAAGAAAAAGAAACTTCACAATTGAGTTTAGGAACAAAAACCAGAGCATATCATAAATAAAAAGTGTCTATTTATGAGTTCCCTTTATACTCTTACCTTTGATCAGCTTTGCAACTGAAGCAATTGTTTCTCCAAGTTCACCAGTTGGGACAAAGTTCTGCTTAAGCCATTGGCATACTCCAACAGGCCTCTCAATTGTCCTGGACGAAAGTTTGCCTCACTTGTTTACCAATTTGCCAGGAAGGCAGTCCTATCACCAAAAAAAACTGTGATCTTATGATGCTACAAGCTGACCTTCCACAACAGGCTCCACCCT